CGTGTCAAGTCCGTGGGTCACGTCCGGGTAAGAAAGGTCACGTCCGTTAAAAAGTGTCATGTCCGGGTAAAAAGTGTCGAATCCGGTAAGAAAGTCGCATCCGGGTGAAGAAGAGGAAATCGAAGAAGATCACCGCCTAGGCCAAGGCAACCGCAGCCGTCCGCAGCAACTAAACCACGGACAGCACGGTCCCTCGACTTCGGGGGCTCTCTCCTCCGACTCTCCCCGTTCCGACTTCGGCAAGGCGATGGCGTCGCCGTCGCGGACGAACGGGCAGAACGCGACCAAACAAAAAGTGTCAGCTCGGACGAGCTTTACTTTCAACATCCTCCACAGCAAGGTCTGTGGCCGGATGACCCCCGAAGACCTCGGCCAAGCGCACTGGACTCAGGGTGTAGCGTCGCATCATCCCGACTCCGGGAGGATGCCGCGCCACGCGCACTTGGCGAAGGTCTTCTTCACCCGCTGCCTGTCGCTCGTCGAGCCCCCGCTCCTCCAACGGCACGGAACGACAGACTCGTTCCGCGTCGTCGGAGGACCCCTCTCCCTCCGGCGCACAGTGGGTCGTCGGACGATTCTAGCAGGACTTAAGTATATAGGCTGGTGCAATTCATTTTTATAATAAAAATTTTTATTTAAATATCGTATTAACTAAAAATTTACATATCGGAGTCACATTCGGAGTTTGACTCGGATTTTTCTTATACTACGATCACGCTCAGTGCTTTTAGTAATTTTAAAACGTTAGCGGTTATCGGAGTTTTTTTATGCCAAGTGATCTAAGGTTTGTCATGAGAGGATCTGAAGAAATTAAAAGATTATGTAAAATATCTATATTAGTGTTTATTCTATAGGTTTTTTGGGAATAACTCTCATGAAATTTTTGAAATTCCGTGTGTCTAGCTTCTTGCACTTTTTCGGACAATTGTCCTATTGAAACGAAAAACGAATTTTTGATCCGCGTATTAAAACTTTGTGAAGAGTGACTGGATGGGATACCAATGACAAAGCGTCACGTATAACTCCGCTGTTTCCTTCGTGTAGATTTCGAATTTGCTCGTTTCGATTTCGTAGCCGGATGCTAGTACTTGTAGTACAACCGAAAATCGTTCTATTAGGTTCTTGTTAACACCGGTTATCTCTGCAGTAAGAGTAGTATAAGAAAAAAATCTTGCCGAATTACTGTCGTTGGTGTTTCCACCACCTTGCTTGAGAGTATCCAGAAGAAAACCAGTTTCAATTCTAAATCTATTAATAATATTTTTCTTTCTTCTTGATACTGACTCTCTCTCTTCGGTCTCGCGCACTTGCCATTTTTTAATATCCATTCGATACGCTATGCAAAGAATGCATTCCATGAATCTTATGTGACAAGGAAGAGTCGATAGACCAAATGAAAAAGTTTCTTCATTACATTGCCTTATTTTAATATTAGGTAGATCATTCATTTGGCTGGATGGGACGTCCCAAAAATTCTTTTTGGGACGTCCCATCCAGCCAATAATTAGGCAATTATCGAAAATAATCATACAATAATTAGGCAATTATCGAAAATGTCGATTTGCCACAAACTAGTGCAAGCTGTAAAACACCACAAAAACAAATAATGAGACGTCCCAAAAATTCTTTTTGGGACGTCTCATTACAGTATTTGTTTTTGTAGTGTTTTACAGCTTGCACTAGTTTGTGGCAAATCGACATTTTCGATAATTGCCTAATCATTGAGCCATAAGCGCTTTTTGGTTGAAAAATGTTTGATATTTCGATTACGTTTTTCCATCTTTGACATAGACCAACGAAAAAAGAACAAGTAATTCGACGTAACTCATTTTCCACTAACTCGACTAGGATTTGTTAAACTGAACTTTTTTTTAAATGTAGTCTATGATAATATTTTTTTACTTCGAATGACCCTCTTATCATTTTATCTTTTTCTATTAGTTTTTCAAAAAGTTCACTCCCGCTGACTACGAGCCATCGCCCTGTGAAAGAAAAAATGGTTATACGTCAAAATCCGCGCGTTTCCGCACACAAATATCTGTTAGACATAATTATAAAATCTTCAAAAATCCGGAGAAAATGAAATAAAAACGTACAAAGACATACGAAAAAAAGATGCAGAAGTTTAAAAGTTCTACTTATTTAAAATTAAGTGTAAAAATCCCTTGGGTTTGCGATTTATATAAAATCCCCTCATTGACTATTATTAATGAAATATACATATTAAAATACATACTTTGGCAATTACTATTCATCTTAATATTGGATAAAAACACTTAAAACAGCTAGCGAAACAACTATTCAAAATAAGTCCGAACACGACACTAACGTTATGATTCCAACCAGATATAAAACTGATGCTTTTCATTTGTTGCTTAGCAAAGCCACGGGGCGTATTTTAAAAATTATCGGTAGCAATTGACTCACTGGAAGCCCCCACCAGTGGGCGAGTGGTCTCCGTTGCCGCTCATAGCGGTGACCAGACCCTAAAGTTCGGTCGTAGGTTCGCGCCGCGATCGGGCAGGCTGGCTGCTTGGAGTTTTCCGGATTTTCTCCTTGCCAATAACGACTGAATAGGAGGCCAGT